CTTGTCTTGGTTTCTTAAATATAAATAATAAATTATATTTTTCAATATCCTTCTCTGGGGGCTACCCCAAACAGCTTCAAGACAGCTGCGTCATAGAATTTTCGTGGAATTTTTCACTTTAACTAAATTTAAAGGCAACGTATTTTTGGGTAACATTTTGTGGCAGCCTCAGTCTCAGCCTCAGTGTCAGCCTCAACAAAGTGATGTATGAGGTCGGGTCGGGGTTGGGCCTATAAAATATATTCTGCTGTGGCCTGGCTAAGTAGAAGATTGATATTATTCCCTTTTCATTTTCACTGAGATTTGCATAACAGGGAGAGCCATTGTGGGGCGGGGCAGGGCGGGGCGCTGGCTCGAGATCGTCCTGCAAAGTTGTCCCGACTCCTATTGGTCCTGATGGTCTCTATCCCGGACTCTATCCGCAGAGGCTTATTTATGCGCGCATGCCGGCGTTAAATTGGATAATGGAAATTGGATTCGAGCGGGAGTTTCGGCCTAAACGCAAACGCTCTTCGCTTCGGGCCACGCTCAGATGGAACTTTCTGTATGTGGCCGAGGCAGTGGCACTTGACTTGATTACGTGGCAGGCAAGGACAACGACGGGGACGAGGACGAAGACAGGGATGACACGTGTGGCAGAAGGCAGAAGGCAGCAGGCAGCAGGCAACACAAACACAAACACCTGTTGAGATTAGAGAGACTAGACACGGGTACAGCAGGCCATCTGATACTCGTGCTCGGAAAAGTCGCCTTATTAATATTAATGAGCATATGGTTGGGGGCCCAAAAGTCTCAAGCGAGATGCGGACCCTCGCGGCAAACCTCATCGATGGCTGTGGCAACGTCATTTACGATGTGCGAAAATAAATATTTAATTATTTATAAATCATGACCTGGCCAAAGCGACAAAGCGACAAAGCGACAATGACGTTACCACATACACATGCTGCCATATACGATATACCATCGAGCGTCGAGCGTCGAACGTCGACCATCAAGCATCGAGCGACGTGTCGAGAGGAAAACGTGAGCATGTCGCCACTGCACGGATGAGCACATAATTTATCCAGAATCGGGTCGAACCTACGGGCCAAAGTGTAAATACATAAATTATGGCAAACATATTTTGCCCGGCGTCCGGTGGGCGGAACACCTTTTTCGCCATCCCCTTAAAAGGAGAAATTAGAAAAAGAAACAATGTGGGCAGAGACCGTACAGAAAGTGACGCATTAATCGTGGTATCTGTAATAAATGTCCAGTCATGCTGGAAACATAACCTCATCAGGGGCTAACGAGAGGATAATCCGCATAATTAATGATGTGCTCTAAGATGTGCACGAAAGGGCTGAAAGAAATGCAACTTAACTCAAAGAAGGGGCCCAGACCATAGCCCTGAAGGACACTTAGAATAATGTACGCTAAGAGGTATTTAAAGTTTTAATCATTGAACAAAATAGAGCTTGAAAGATTGAGTTCATAAATACAGAAAAGCACCTCAATAGACCCACTCAAAGGCAATGAATCAACATTCATTCGTTTAGGTAAAATAACCGAATAAGCACTATTCATCATTCATAAATTTCGACTTGAACTCCGATTATTGATCGAATACAAGTTTTAATCACATTCAGCCATGTAATTCAATCAAGTTAGAAGCTTACCCAACGGGGAAGGGGTACGGCGACGGGTACGGGGACGGGGACGGGGTCGCATTAGCCAGCAGCCAATGCCAATCGGCCTGATTTGCTCATAACCAAATGGGAATATGATTTGGCTGCTGTGCTGTTGCTGGGGAAATGTGAAATGTGAGCTATGTATGTATTTTCGTGCATTTACCAATTAAATTGGTTGACATAAGCCGATTTTGCGTTTACATACTTTTCATGGACTCATGGGCTCACGGGCTCATGGGTTGGCTGCACAGCAGATCGAATATAATTTTTAATTAACCAAATGGCAATCCAGCGACTGCATTCAATAATCAGTGCATAGATATATTCATGAAATTAGGCAAGCAAACTTGGGGCAAAACAAATCAACTGAAAGGTGAAAGGTGAAACAAGGATCGAAGGAGGGAGCACCACCTATTCACGCGATTCTAGTGGAAGTGAAAATTTATGCCAGAGAAAAGATTGGAACAAAGCTGAAACGAGAGGAGGAGGAGGAGGGGGATGAGGATGAGGACAGAAACTCTATGCATGACAATGACTTTGGCCAATGAGTGTGAAAGATAGCAGTGCAAAGTTTGTGCTTGGCGTGTACTCAGGTGAACAAAGGCGCTGGGAACAAAAGGCAAAATTCAACGGAAAAACAACCATTCCATAAAAATTCGTTAGGTTCTTCAATTCAGTTGGTGTATAATTTAACAAAATTTCCCAAAGAAAGTGCCCTAAAAGGTACATATATTTCAATATTCAAATATGAATATCTATGTTTAAGTTTTTGTATTGCAAAGCTAACCATCTTTCCTCGTTACCGTCGGGCAGTGGCAATTATAGTTTCATCAGTCAGTCAGGCATAAGGCCATCTTTTCCTCTTCTTCTCTCTCGATTTCGCTGGAAACCCGAAAGCACATGTCTTCTGCTCCAACGGCCAGATCGGTAGTCGGTAGTCGGTAGTCAAGCGTTTTATGGCCTTCGATTGTCATATTGGGAGGTAGAGCAGAGCCAAATATGAGTTGCCGTCGTCTCGTCATCGTCAATGGCAACATGGTTGAGCAACTGATTGCCAGCTAGCCTTGTCTGTCCAGGCCCGAAGCCGAACAACAGTGGAGCGGATAAAACTGGTATTGGCGCTGAACTCCATTTGGCTGGCAGGCCCGAGACAGCGACTGGTCCTGGCATAATTATCGGGATATCTGTCCGACTAATCAAGGTGTATGCCGTACAAAGGTTAGCGGATTGCTGGCAATCATGATGGGGGCTGATGTATGGGCAAGTGCGCCCCCTTGTTCCTAATTGAGTGTGGGCTATGGATGGAGGGGTGGGTGGGTGTTGGTGGGGCTCAAGCTTAAATCCGATCTGGACAGAGGTCGTTAGGAACAGCTGCTGTTGCTGTTGCTTGGAGTCATAAATTTGTTGGCAATTCATGCAGTTTATCTAACTGGGATTACGCCAATTAATTAATCAGAGGAAATTCCATCTGCGTGTGGTCGCTATGGAGGAGTAAAGTGCCCGCCGACCCACACGCCACTTCCGCCATGACCTACCAAGACTTCCTTCCACTTGGCCTTGGCATGTCCTCGGCAAATAAGTTTTGTCGGTTATGGCCGCCCAAAAACTTGACTTCACTTCTTATTGGCTGCGTCGCTGTCTGCGGAGGTTTCTGCCTGGCTGCGGACCGAGAAGTTTACGGCTTTCGTCGGGTTGTTTAGTATAGTGTGTCTTGTGGCTTGCTTCTGGCCTAAAACTTTTGCGCTGCCCTCCCGCTCTCGCTGGCATATCCCGCCTAGAGGTGAGGTACCGCCGGAACTATTGAAGGTGTCGCTGGATGTTGCCCAGTAAAAGGGACACCTGAAAGCGTTTCGAATCCATTTTCTTATTAAATGCTGTACAAAGTACTCGAGGGGAGACCACATTGCACGCTTACCGATGGCAGGTACAAAAGGTAAAAATCTCATAAGTAATAGTATTGTCTGCGCCGATATTTAAGGCAATATTGTGTAATTTATTGAGATCTTTTAGTCCAAGTCTTGTAGAAATGTTTCTCAGTGATACTTGACATAGCATTTAGCTCGCTGGCATTTCCTGGCACTGGCAGCCAACATCCATGATGGGATTGCGTTGAGTTTGAAATTCATTTTAATTATTTTTCATTTCTGCTCTTGGCACAACAAATAGATTGGGTCTATGTACATATGCTGTACGAGTACTGAGCTCTGCCCCCTCTGCCCCTCCTCGTCTTTCAGCTTTGTTATTGCCAAGTTAATTGCTTGTTGTTGCTGCTAATATTGTTATCGTTGTTGTGTTTCTCTTATTCCCTGTTGCCTGCTCTCTTTCTTTTTTGCTTTCCTTTGCCTTGCCGTTCTCCGGTTGCCATTCATTTTTCACTCGCCAGATAGAAAATCATTTGTTTTTTGCGCTCGCGAGCAGAAAAGATGGCAAACACAAGCAAACGGGCAAAAATTTCATATAGTTGATTGCATTGTCTGCTGGGAAGACAATGCCTGGGACAATGAGGTTCCGAGCCGCTACAGGCCACTCCCCAGAGACGGAACGTTGTAGAAGAGAGCCCTTTCTTTTACTCGTCTCCCTTCTCGATGATCTACTGTATCGAGGGCGCACTGTGGCTGCATGAAATACTGATACCCTCCGCTCAATATTGTCGGTAAATAATGCGCTTGCTTGTTAGGAGCAGCTGCTGACAGGCAGCCGGCAGGCAGGCCATATCCCTGGCTAATAATATGGGGATCACCATCACCCAGCTCTGGCCACTAATCAATCTCGCATTTCTCTATTCTACTATTGCAGCAGCAGCAGCATCAGCCCCACCACAGCCACCAACAGGAACTGGAATAGGAACAGGAACAGGACCATGTGACAACGGGTGGCACTCATAAAGTATGGAAAACATATCAAAACATTTGCGATTCAGCTGGTTCAGGCTTCCACTAATAGGCTGACGACCAGCAGCAGCAGCAGGGATAGGAAATTACCAGGCTAGGAGTCCTTGGTGGAGGAGTGTACGGGCACAGGCACAAAAGCCAACATGAAAGGACATTCGAAACCGAATGGGGCAGCTGCTGACCGCAGTGGCCGCCGCATCGTGGACAGCGACAACAGCCATGTCCAGGGCCCAAACCAAGACCATGGCAGGGCCATTCTGTTATTTGTGCTGACAGCGCTGACACTAACGAGCTTAATAACGCCCACAGAGCAGTTGACAGTGGCGCCAAATGGAACCACACAGCAGCAACAGCAGCAGCAGCAGCAGCAGCTGCAACTGCAACAACAACAGCAGCAACAGCAACAGAAACAGAAACAGCAGCAACATCAGCAGCAACAACTGCAACAACTAGAGCAGCAATTGCAACTGGAGCTAGACTACAAGCACATGAATGGCAATCTGGTGGCAGCAGTTGACTTCAATGGAACACTTGCCTTTGGACGGCCGCCGCCGCCCCACCAGTACCGCAATGGGAACGGACTTTATGCGGGCGCCGACTGCAGCAAAAGCAGCAACCACAGCAGCAGCAACTTCATCCTGAAGCTCATCGCGATGATCCTGTACGCAATGGTGTGCATCGTCGGTCTCTTCGGCAACACCCTCGTAATCTACGTGGTGATGCGGTTCTCCAAGATGCAGACGGTGACCAACATCTACATTTTGAATCTGGCGATAGCCGACGAGTTCTTCCTGATCGGCATTCCCTTCCTTATCTACACGATGCAGGTGGGCAACTGGTCATTCGGGGACTACATGTGCAAGGCGTACATGGTGAGCAGCTCCATCACATCGTTCACCTCCTCGATCTTCCTGCTGATCATGTCCGCGGACCGGTATATAGCTGTCTGCCATCCGATATCGTCGCCCCGCTACCGTACCCCGTTCGTGTCGAAGCTCGTGTCGGCCTTCGCCTGGATGACCTCCGTGCTGCTGATGCTGCCGGTGATCCTGTTCGCCAGCACCGTGCCAGCGGAGAACGGACTGCTGACCTGCAACATCGAGTGGCCCGACACCCAGAACCTGGACTCGGACTCCACATTCATACTGTACTCCCTGGTGCTGGGCTTCGCCACGCCGCTGACCTTCATCCTGGTCTTCTACTGCCTGGTCATTCGGAAGCTGCACACGGTGGGGCCCAAGCACAAGTCAAAGGAGAAGAAGCGCTCCCACAGGAAGGTCACCAAGCTGGTGCTGACCGTCATAACCGTGTACATCATGTGCTGGCTGCCCCACTGGATCTCGCAGGTGGCCCTAATCAACTCGGTCCCGAATCCGTGCGGTGCCTCCCGACTGGAGCTGGCAGTCTTCCTGGTCTGCGGCTGTCTCAGCTACTCGAACTCGGCGATGAACCCCATTCTCTACGCCTTCCTCAGCGACAACTTCAAGAAGAGTTTCATGAAGGCCTGCACTTGTGCGGCCCGCAAGGACGTCAACGCCCAGCTCCAGCTGGAGAACAGCTTCTTCCCGAAGTTCGGCAAGGGCCGGCAGTCGGAGCGGCTCATCGGTGGCGGCAACAAGGGGGCCAAAACCGGTGGCACGGCCAAGAAGAGGGCTGCTCTGGCTGCAGCGAGAAACAACAATGCCCCGATGGCCACCACCACAACGACCACGACAACGACCGGAACGGACACCGTGACCTCTGTGCAGCCAGCAGTTCATAATGTTCCTGCCGAGTTACTAGCGCCATCCGGCAGCTGCAGCAGCAGCGGCAATCCTGCCACTCTCCTGGTGGTCAATGCCGAGACCAACAACTGTAAGCCGCCCGTGCTGCACACGGACTTATAAGAGCGGGCCCAGGCCCGTGCTATGCCGCTGGAGACGGTTGTGCTTATAGCCAGAAGATGAGGGCACGCCGACATCGGAGTGGGAGTGGGAGTGCGAGTGGGAGTGGAGCTGGAGCTCGATCGACAGCTGACAATGCAGTCGGAGTTCCTGCTTTAGGCTAAGCGTTCGTTCTCTCGATGGATATTGATATTTTATATTGAAAAAGCAAAGCGATGCGAAAGCGATGTTGAGACCTCGTTTGATCGCAAATGATAATGCCAGAGAATCCTATAGGTACATAGAGAATTCTTAATGCCCATCAAAAGGAATCGATGAAACCTTTATGACAGATTCTCAGTCAGAAATAGTGTCAAAACTAAAGTATTCATCATAAAAGTGTTTCAGATCGGAGGATATATCAAACGTAAATCACAGTCGCAGTCGCCGTCGCCGTCGCATCAGTTTGCCAATCAGATAAGTTTTGCATAAGTGTGGATACTTTTAATGTCGTTTTCCCATTTAGATACTCTGCTAGAATAAGGTTGAAAATCTCTACAAATAAGCTGAGTAGTGAAGAGCGTGAAACAAAGCAAATAGTGGAACATAACCAGTTTCGAGTGTTAGTTTTGTAAGCCAAAGATTTGATCTTAGATTTCAAGGAAAGACTTTGAAATACACAAGGAATAACTCAGAAAAAAAGGCGCCATTAACAAGCCAAAACAAACCCAAAGAGAACCCAAAGAATTCCAGAAAGGCAAATAATTCCATTGGAAATAAAACGAACAAAGTATTCTCTGAAACAAGAAACAAGAAATAAAATAATAAATACCGAAAAAAGTCCTTTTTCAATTCGAATTAAATTGTAATGTGATTGTAAAATAAAACAATAACAAAAACAAAAACGAAAAGGGAAATGGTAAAAGGTAATGGAAAAGGGGGAAATGTGAAGCGTACAATGTGAAAAATTTGCATTACAATTCATGACGATAATCTCTAATGAAGCCTAATTAACCGAGTGCATTTTAATTAACATTGGAACTAAATGTTTTTTGAGCGGCTGCTGGAATTGACTCAACGGCGCTTTCAATAATCGACTTAAATGAATATTAAATGAATACATAAATAAAAAAAACAATAGCTACAATAAATATGGAATCAGTCGAATAGCCTCTCAATAGATTCCCCCAAAAAATGTTTGTCTTTCTTGAATGTTTTCAAAAAACGTAAAATAAAAAAAAAACCTATGCCAGAATTGATCATTGACTTGGATATTGTACCCATAGCTGAAATAATCTTTGGGCATTGTTGGGAGAATGTTTTCCCCCTCCCCCAATGTACACGAGTATTTGTACTTTTGAAAATACAAAAAAAAGAGCCTAGGCTAATCAGTGTTTACTATAAATTATGATACATACATACCTACCTTTATTAAATGTCCACAAAAAAGCTACAGGTAAAAAATGTAAAAAAAAGATACATCTACATATATGGTAAATTTTTTCAATTTTAAGTGTAACTTAATTGAAGTCAAACAAATGTTGTTAAAAATACATTAGGTGGACTTTGAGTGCTTCAAAAAATGATCAAATAAAATAAAGATAATTTTAAATGAATTCTCGCAACTCATAAACTTTTTTGTGTACCATTCAATCGATTTTTACTTTCATGTGAAATGATTTTGTTTATTTGGATTTGATTTAAGTTTCCACTTAGAATCCATCAATGCCTTGCCATAGCTTTGCTCTGGCTGTCCTGCTGGCCTGGTCATGTGTCTGACAGAACGAGTTAGAAGTGGGAAGGATTCCCATTCAGGATCCGTAAACAACAGGAAAAACAAGAAAACACTTTTTATGCTTCGGCATCCACAGGATGTCTAGCATCCAAGTCTCAAGACCGCAGTGGGGCTTGCATGGAAAATGCAAGGGAAAAACTGAGGAACATCTAATGAAAGCTTAACACAAACTGCAACAATATTAAAGGAAAGGGAAAACTGCCAAGAAATGACAGTTTCAGACAGTAAGGGAGGCTATGGCTATGGCTATTACCCCGAGGACAATGACATTCTGGACAGATTGTAAATCCAGTTGACCAACCAAATTGAGAAAATGTTAAGAACACACAAAAACAAAAACAGAGACAGAGAGAGAGAGAGGGAGAGACAAAGAAGTGGTAGAGTAGTTTGTCCTACTCGATTTCATTCGCACTTAGCGAATGTAGTGTGCGGGGCATATTGATTATGGGCATCGCTCCTGCATGCTGATGCACTTCGCCATATGCCAGGGAACTTTGAGAGTTTTAATAGGAAACTGCGGACGAGGACGGGGACTGACGGATGCAGTTCCCCCGCCACGACGTACATCCCAACCCTCCATCTCCATCAAGTTGAAGTTTAAGGTCAGGGTAGAGCAGAGCAGAGCAGAGAAGGCACTTAGAAGTCCGTGTACGTGTGCAAGATGGGGCAGGCCAGGCCAGGCCAGGCCAGGCGGACAACTTATAGCCATATTGATGGAAAAAACTCAGCTGTCAGTTGAATTATGAATTCGGTTCGAGGCAAGGCTGCCGCCCCCTGCACCCTGCCCCTTCTGTTTTCCAGCGCACTCTGGAAATTTTCAAAGTCAAACGAGGAACAGATATACGAGTATACGAATATGTGTCTGAGCGGGCCGACTTCAAAGCGCTGCCCCAACAGTTTGTGAATATTTTGACCTAATTTATTTCTGGCTATACGAGAAATCAAATTAATGCTTCGCACTTCATAAATCGGCCAATGAAAATGAACAGATAAAAAGGCGCCCGCCCAGCCACATTTCGTTCAGCAACGGGTTTCTTTCAAAGCTAAAAATACATTCGAGTCGCTTTATAAATACATTAGCACCTCAATACGACGGATAATGATGCTGCTGGCCAAATAGAAATACACAAAAAGAAAATTTAGCCAAAGATTTAGCCAGATTGGAGGAGACTCTACAGCTGTTCAAATAATATATTTGGAAGGTAAAATGGATTAAATGAGCAATTAAAAAGTTGCACGCCTATTTGCCACAAATCGGAGTCTTGGTTAGGAAACTTTCTTGAGGAAATGAAAAACGAGGACGTCCGATAGTGGACATGACTGTGACTCATACTTGATGAAGTGGATGTTGAGTCTTTATTTTACCATTATCAATACTCTCAGTTAGGTCATTCGTCTAGAATCGAGTCGTTTCATTCAGCTGTGCTGACTGTGTGTGTATATTGATAATATTTGACGCTATCCGTGTGACCTTACAGCGACGCAAATCAATTCAAACAGATAAGAATTGAACGAGATTTACACAGAAAAGTCATCTTTGCATTCATTTCGCTCGATTGGCGATCAGTTTGTTTTAAATCTTGCCACCAGCCCCACGTTTCTCGCGAACGATGAAAGTTATTCCAGCTATTCTGCTTCTGGCAGGATTTTGTGTCGCACAACCGTACGAATCCAACACAATTGAAGGGAATTCCGTCGACTATTGTGGGCCAGAGTGCTTTGAGAAGCTGAAGCCCCTGCTCGACCATGCAGTAGATATGAAGCACCGTGGCGAAGAATATGGCGCACAGATCGCGAACGTAAACCAACAAATAGTGGAGCTTCGCCGTATAGTGGATTCTCTGAGCAAAGACATCGAAGAGCTTAAGAACGACCACCCAATTGGAAGAGATTCCACTACCACTACTACCACCACTCCCACAACAGCCACGAATGCTTCACTGCCCACCAAGTGTGCAACCTATGAGGAGTCCGGAATTCATCAAATTCAAGTACCCGGCACGGATCCGTTCCTGGTGTACTGCGAAATGGAGCAGATGGACGAACCAGCCTGGGTTGTCGTATTGAGACGCACCAATGGAGACCAGCTGGACTTTCACAGGAACTGGGAGAGCTATCGCAACGGCTTCGGGGACCTGTCCGGCGATCACTTCTTGGGTCTCGAGAAGCTGTACAGTCTGACAAGGTCCGTGCCCTACGAGCTGCTCATAAAGCTCACAGATTTCAACGGCAACGAGCGATATGCTCTCTACAGTAATATAAGGATTGGAAATGAGCAAGAGAAATATAAGCTCAAAACCTTGGGTGGCTACTCAGGAGATGCCGGGCAGGCAATGGGCTACCATATAGGCAATGAGTTTACAACCTTCGATATGGACAACGATGGATGGAGCGAAGGGAACTGTGCCGATTTCTATCAGGGAGCCTGGTGGTATGGCTGGGACGCCAATAGGTGAGGGTGGGTGTTCACACCTGAATCTCCATTGCATATAGCTCGATCATTCTCATTTCGTTCTCAGCAATCTGATGGGTCAATACTACCGTTACGAAAGAGACGACAGAACCAGCATCTGGTGGTACACCTGGAAGGGCTATGCTGCGCTGAAATCAGTCGAAATGATGATTCGTCCATCGTACACTTTGATGCTCGACTAAAAAAGCGCTGTGAGGGGATTATACAAAAAATTCCAACATTTTTGAAAGAAACGAGCAAATATACGTAGTTGGTTGGTTGGGCGTTGAACAACTTTGCGCAATCCATAATTTTTCCCATTGACACTTGCAGTTTTTGAAGTGGTGGGTGGGGGGGACAGGGCCAGGGAAGTCCAACCCGTTCACCCTTTGCGAAATACAGCAGCAGCCAAGGAAATGGCGCAAATTTCGCCACCAAATTGAAAAGTTCTTGAGCATTCCGTGCCACTTCCTCCATTGATGGTGGCTGTGGCTTTCGGTTTATACGTACTCGTATTTTATGATTTTTCCTTTTTACCACGATTCCGATTCTCGGCTGTGCAAATTGAAAGTTTTTCGCCAACAATTTTTGTTTTGCGGCCACTCGAGCGTTTGGCATTTCTGCATGCGGAACTATAAACTATTTCCATAGAGCTCTTACCGCTGCCTCCTGTTCCTGCTCCGGCTCCTGCTCGTGGCAATAGCAATAGCAAATTGCTCAAAAGTCCAAAGTCGTTGAGTCGGACAATAAATTTGTAAGGAGTTGTTCCTCTAGTTTACTCGCTGTAATTGGGGCACAACAAGCGGTTTCCTTCCGAATCTTTGGCTTCGATTAAAGGCCAGAACGTTGCCGATTTCAGTGGCTTTCAGAAACGAATTTGATAAGCCATTGGAGGGGTTAAAGCCGCTTAACATTAGGAAAGGAGATGGGGCCACCGAGTGATTGATGATTCAGTCAGCACACAAGAAAGTATTGACAGCGATGGATACAAAATACATTGTGGATAAAGGGAAGATATTTAAGATGGTTTTTGGATGCTCTTTTGTGGGGACTTGAAGAGATGTGGGTGCCCAAAGCAATCTGCTGCCATCACACAGTGTTATATATTATAATCTTGGATTGAGCTGAAGTATTCTAGCGTCACACCCTAGTGAGTTTACCCCTCATTGAAAGCATGTTTTTGGAACCCGTACCGAAACACGACAAACACGCAGCGGGCATAAAAGTCAAACTCGAATCGATCAACATTTTTGTAGCATTTTTTACAGATGATGGTGATGATGATGATGAGGAGCCCCCATGGTTACCATGGTTAGGCAGCTTCCGTAAACAGCGCCACATGCCACGGAATAAGCTTCCTACTTCTGGACTCTTTGGCCATAAAAACGCTTGAAATATGCTGCTCTCATATACATATTGGATATATGGATGGAGGCGCTATGGTGCTATATGACCTGCTTTTGGGCGTGTCATTCACATGAGAATGAGACGGAAACACAAAACGTCCCGGACGTCCAAGGTCGAGTAAATAACTAGCCAGTGGGTAGCCACCACTGTCTCCAGTCTCAGCTCTCATCCCAGTCGCTGGAACTGGCCCGGTCTCGGGCTGGCCATCAATTATATCAAGTGGGAGCCACCGCCGCTGGCTGCTGGCTGCTGGCTGTTGTCCGGTACAAATTGAAGGCGTAAATTAGCCCCCACCCCGGCAAGTGTCAGAGGACCTCAGCTCGAGTGGTAGCCACTCCTCAGGACCGCTCTCTCTCTCTCACCGTGGGTGTCAATTGTGCTTATTGAAAAATATGGCACGCTGCAGGGACTAGTAATAGGCTTTAAAGACACCCAGCACGGGGCCTCTTTAAGTTGGCCAATTTCCGTCGAGGCTAAGCCGTAAAAGCCAACCCGCTATCCAGAAATCGCTTCTCGTCTCGAATTTCAACGCATCCTAAGATAGCATCTTAATTACCCATCCACACACGACCAACCACCCACCCACAGCCACATCAACACACAGACACACAGTGAGAGGCGCAGTGAGAGACACAGGAGAAGGAAGAGACTGGAAGGAATGTCAATGACCTGGTCGGGATAACTCGGCAATGGTCAGCTCCACAATATTACCAACGCAAACTGCTGTGGGCGCTCACTTTTGGTTTTTGTACGCAGGCCACCCATCAATGGGTATGTATACTAGATGAAGGGTATTTCATCTTCACGGAGTGGTATGTAACCTACATATTTGTGGGTCGATTCGAATGATTACTTGATGTTTTCTGTCGAGGAATCTACAATTTTTATATGTATATCTCTTTACGGAGTTAATTGACGATCTTCAGGGTATAACTGATTCGTTTCACAGTTGGCCTGCCCCAATCCTGTTTCTTTTTCGTTCTTTGCTTTTTTAAGGCGACAAAACAATAACAATTTCCTGTTAACGTAAACTTTTTGGGCTCACACTTCCGCTTCCTCTCGGACATTGTTGCCGTTACCCGAAGCAGCAGGGGCACATTAATTACACAAAGCACACACCAGGAGGGAAATACAGAGAGAGATAGAGACAGAGAAGAGGGAAAGACTCACCTGAAAATGAACCAGGACAAACCTGGGCAAACATTTGTGGACATTAGTCGCCTACATTTGGGCTCAGCCGCAGCAGGGTGTCCGGTACTTCGTCCATTCCCATCCCCTTCCTATCCGGGCCATCCCCTCCACTCAACGGAGTGTAATTTGAGTTTGTGGCTCTTGCCCCGCTTTTATTTATGTTTATTCTGTGCGGCCATAGTTATTTATGCCTCCTCATCTGCTCCATTCCTCTCGACTTTCTCTGGTATTCTTTCTTTTGGCACCCTTGGGCTATTTTTCCTTCATTTTTTCTGACGACTGACGAGCATTTCATTTGCTGGCCATAATGGTGCGTTAAGGGCCTTGGTCAGGGGCCACGAAGATTTGTCAACATTTTGCAACGGTTTCTGAAAAAAGCGGCACGTGTTTCCCTCTTTTAAGAAGCCCTTCCCGAAGGTGTTTTCCATTTGAGATTGGTGCGATAAACTTTTCCCTTAGGTTTCCTTAGATTACGCAATCAAATTATTACAATTGAAAGATATATTACAGAGAGAGACAGAGAGAGAGAGTGAAAGAAAAAAAGCACTTAAAGCCTTTCGCCTATCTGGCTCTATTTGCCGATCTGGGTGTGGTATTGTTTTGATCGGGATCATCCGATTGACTGAAATTAAAGCTCATTACATATATGTTTCTCATTTAAATATATTTTATTCTTTTACTTTTATGGTCCTCCCCCGTTTGGAGTCCCGAGCCTGGCAATCCCGTGCAATCGCTCCATGGTCCAGAATGTGGTAAGTGTCTTCAAAGACTGCTTCTCCTACCCATCTAACAAATGCTATTCCAATTCAGAGCCAATACTACTTCGTGTGCGAATGCATCTGCGCGGCTAACATGAAGATCTCGGCCAGTAGCGCCCAGAGAGTTCTGCAGTCCCATGCAATTTGCGGCGCAGTCGATCAAGGATGTTTTTTCCAATCACGAGAAGGCGTGGCACTCCTAAGCTTGCATAAGGAACAACAAGGATAATGCACTTTTAGCAAATGGAAACGCTTTGTGTTATTATAATATATATATCAGTTTATTGTAACACTTGCTCACATACCAATATGTACCTATGAACTTACATAATTATACATATATGTACATATATAATTACATCAATGTATTATTATACATTTCTAAAAAACGAAATGAAGTTGGTATATAAATAAAGTATGTAATTTTATATAAAAATTTAAAAAATGTGAAGTATTTCTTTGGGATAGTAAATAGGGCCTGAAATATCCGTATTTAAAACAATCTCCCGACTACGAGGAGGCGTGGCACGCTGATATCAGAAAATAAATAGTGGAGTTATGGCTATAAAACAATAAACTAGTGCCTGTTCCTTATTATCCTTAAAGTCAATCTGTGCTCTTACGATCTGGGATATTCTCGCGATCCCGAGAAGTAGTGACAAATCTTGATAGCACGAGAAATAGCGAAGGAAACGTAAATTTAATGATGTAACCTAATGATGGTTTTGCCAATTTTTGGTTTTTAAATTTGCAAAAAATCGGACTCACTTCCGTAGTCCAGATTTTGATGCCGATCGACAGGCAGGATCCTCGCGATCCTTGGACAGTTAGTCCTGTGCCGATCTGGCCCTATTTAGCTGAGATATAGCCTTCCGAAATGTTGGATTTGCACATCGTGAAAATACTGGTTTTTTTCTGCAAGCTATATCTCTGCTAAACGGCAGCCGATCGAGGCGTGGCATGTCATTTCGTGACCGGGAGAGTCCTGCCAACCGATTGGCACAAGAAAAAAGGATATCCATTCCATCACGATTTTCGCAAAAAATCATGATGGTTACATCATCCAATTTGCCAAAAATCATCCCCATTTTCGTAGTCCAGATTTTGATGCCGATCGACAGGCAGGATCCTCTCGATCCTTGGACAGTTAGTCCTGTGCCGATCTGGCCCTATTTAGCTGAGATATAGCCTTCCGAAATGTTGGATTTGCACATCGTGAAAATACTGGTTTTTTTCTGCAAGCTATATCTCTGCTAAACGGCAGCCGATCGAGGCGTGGCATGTCATTTCGTGACCGGGAGAGTCCTGCCAACCGATTGGCAGAAGAAAAAAGGATATCCATTCCATCACGATTTTCGCAAAAAATCATGATGGTTACATCATCCAATTTGCCAAAAATCATCCCCATTTTCGTAGTCCAGATTTTGATGCCGATCGACAGGCAGGATCCTCGCGATCCTTGGACAGTTAGTCCTGTGCCGATCTGGCCCTATTTAGCTGAGATATAGCCTTCCGAAAGGTTGGATTTGCACATCGTGAAAATACTGGTATTTTTTGCAAGCTATATCTCTGCTAAACGGCAGCCGATCGAGGCGTGGCATGTCATTTCGTGACCGGGAGAGTCCTGCCAACCGATTGCCACCAGAAAAAAGGATATCCATTCCATCACGATTTTCGCAAAAAATCATGATGGTTACATCATCCAATTTGCCAAAAATCATCCCCATTTTCGTAGTCCAGATTTTGATGCCGATCGACAGACTGGATCCTCGCGATCCTGGGAGAGTCGGTCCTTCACCGATCTGGCCCTATTTAGCTGAGATATAGCCTTCCGAAATGTTGGATTTGCACATCGTGAAAATACTGGTTTTTTTCTGCAAGCTATATCTCTGCTAAACGGCAGCCGATCGAGGCGTGGCATGTCATTTCGTGACCGGGAGAGTCCTGCCAACCGA